CTGACATCAGGGTTATTCACCTCTTCTAAGATAGTGATACCTCCCTCCTCTTGCCTGCTGGTTCCTGAACACAAAGAGCTCAGAGTACTTAAGGCATCAACCTGAAGTTCCTGCACGGGATGCTGATGTAACAGTGGTGGATGCCATGTGCTTGCTTATACCTGCTGTTCCTGAATGTTCCACTTGTATCCTAAAATGGATATTTTCTAAACCCACTTAATTCATGACTTGATGGTTTTGACAGGTTCTACCCCATACTGGGTAGTTCTGGTGGAGTAGTCATTTAGTGTCGCATGGTCATGCATTCTGTCTTTACCTGGGTGCGATAGCCTGCCAGCAGATGTTTTACAAAAGCATCTAATCCTCCACCGCAGATGGCCTGGCCTTGCTCCAAAATTTGAGGAGCCTATGTTGTTCTCCTACTGTGGCTTGCCACGAACTCCACATGGTGTCCATTCCCCACCACTGATACCACCAATACCAAGGGTTAAATAAACATCAGCTGAATATGTATGTGAGAGTCTATTTCTGGACTCTCTGTTCCATTTATCTATTTATCTATTACATTAAACTGATGCCAATATTACATTAAATTGATTCTTGTAACTTCATACTAAGTTTTGAAGCCAGGTAAAGAGAGTAATCCCTTCCACTTTGTTTTTCTTTTTTAAAGTTGTTTTGGCACATATTATATTTCGAGAGTATTGCCAATGTCTGCCACCCATCTACATGTATGTGCGAATAATTCCATACTTGATTTCTTCATATTGGATAAGATCAATTTAAAAAATTTTATCAATCTGGAAAAGTTCATTGTTTAATTAACATATCTTTAATTATTATTGAGGTACCTGTCCTTTTTTCCATTGGATTTTTGATCTGTGTCTTTTTAATTGTCTGAAGACATGTGTTTCATTGGAAATAATTCAGTCTTTGACCTGCTTAAATTCTCTTGTGTGTTAAAAACACCAGCTTGTAACCTGAATTCTCATCTTTCTCTCCCTTACTATACAAGCTTCTTGAAAACTGGTGTTACCTTGGTGTTTCTACTTCCTCAGTTCACATTTATACTTCAGTGCAATTCGGTAGCGCTCTGTCTTCATCATTACTGTGACACAATTTATAAAAAAAAACCGCCTTGCTAATTATTAAATCCAAGGGACATTTTTGTCCTTATCTTAGTGGATGTTTGGTTGCATCTGACATTTGATGCTTCCCTCTTCCTTGAAATATTTCACCATTAGTTCCTCTGACACCATTCTTCTTGATCTTCTGCTCCCTCCCTCTCTCTTCCTTTCCCATCGTCAGTTCCTCTTTCTTTTATCCCTCACCAGTTGAAATTTTCCAGGGCTCCACCCTAGGTGTCTTGTTTTTTCCATTGTATGTGCTTTCCCTGATTGATTGCATCTCTTTTCTATAATAATCTATAAGAACCACCAGTTTTAGATGAATTTTGATTATATTGGATTGACTGAAGGCAGTATTTATATTATAAATCTGTATAAAAGTAAAGAGCTATCACACATTTGCACACATCTGCTGCACATAAGATTCTACACATTTTTTTTCCTGATGTGCATTATACCATTTTCATGGATTGTCTGGCCATGTTTCCTCTCACCTTATAAGCCAGCTGAGAGTAGAGTGGAATATTAAACAGAACACCCCCCCGCCCCACCCCCACACAACATGATTAACCTGGAGTATGTGGACAGTAAGAATTATTTTCATTGCTTAAGTAAGATGAAGTATCATAAGCTAATGAGAGTAACATAAAAATTCACCAGAAAGTATTCTTAATGTAGATGTGTACAACTCTAAAGCAAGAAAGTACACTTATCTGGATTATGAAATAAAACATCTTTCATTATTTTATCTATGTATTTTGCTCTATCTTGTGTATCTCTGTTCCTATCTCTAGGGTGATCCCACATCACAGATTGCCCAGAAGAGGTTTGGTGCCCCTTGTCCAGATATAGTTATTAATAGCACCTCTGTTCACTGTCAAAGCTGTCCTGGGTTGGATGACAGATTATATTGATGTCTTTGTCTCTTTACCAACAGAAATTAATTGATATTCAAAAGACATTCATTGAAGTATAGTGTAGTGGCTAGGAGCATAAGCTCTGAGTTAGACTTTGGGAGTTTACATCTTGGCTACACCACTAACCTGCTATGTGACCTTTTGGTGCCTCAGATTCCTTCTCTGTATAAGAGGGATAATAATGGTTTCTCCCTTAGCATTAAATTAGATCAGGGGTCAGCAAACTTTTTCTATAAAGGAATAGATAGTAAGTCTTTTAGACTTGGTAGACCATATGGTTTTTGTCATAACTACTCAACTCTACCATTAAAACACAAAAGCAACCACAGACAATATGTAAATGAATGAGCATGACTGTGTTCCAGTAAAACTTTATTTATCAAAACGGACAGCAGGCCAGATTTGCCTCAGGGCTGTAGATTGCAGACTCCTGAATTAGATTATACATGTAAAAGAGCTATTAATTTGGGGCCTCACAAAGCATAAGAACCTCGCTTGGTTTTGGCATGGGATTTACCCCCAAAATAGGAGTGTGTGGGAATTCCTAAAAGAAGGAACCACCTGAACAAAGATGTAGGGATGGGATTAGTCTGCTATCAAGCATGTAAGAAGTGGTATATAACTGCTGTTCTTCTGTTGAGACTGCCCTTCTTCACCTTGTTTTCCTGACAAACTCCTGCTCCCCTTCCAAGACTCAGGTTTTAAACTTTTTTTTTTTAAGATTTTATTTATTTATTTGACAGAGAGAGAGAGAGACAGCAAGACAGGGAACACAAGCAGGGGGAGTGGGAGAGGGAGAGGGAGAAGCAGGCTTCCCACCGAGCAGAGAGTCTGACGCGTGGCTCGATCCCAGGACCCTGAGATCATGACCTGAGCCGAAGGCAGATGCCTAACTGACTGAGCCACCCAGGCGCCCCCCAAGACTCAAGTTTTAAAATCATGTCCTTAGTATCGTGAGAGCCCTTTCCCACACCCCCACCACTACCACCTGGTCCCTAACCTAGCTAGTTACCTCTTACTGTGCCCACAGCACCAGTCATGCTTCTGTCAGATCACTCATCATACTACATTGTCACTCTCAGACTCTGAGCTCCTTCCTTGCATTACCAAACATGACAATAATGAATGTGTGTGAGTGAAGGAAGAAATGAGCTTTACATTATGGTGGAAGACTCAGTAGACATGAATATGTATTAAACAAAAAAAGGGAAACTAAGCTGATTCTGACAGTCTTGCCCTGAGTAGCTGTCAGACCCCAGGGGAGAAAAGACACAAACACTGCAAACCCCAGCACCAGGCAGTGATGATTGGGACACAGGAAAGCATACACAGCTGTCCCTGTAGGAAGGGACAGATGCCAAGGGGCTCTGGCAAAAACTTAGAACAGGATATTGGAGCCCAACTTTAAAGCACAAATAGAACTTTTCCTGACATAAAGTTGGGGAGGACATTCCAGAAGCATGACATCCACTGTATCCGACTTAAAGAGCTGAGTCAACGCTGAGAATTAATTCATAGTGTCGTTCAGCGTCAGTTAGGACTGGATATTTTGTAGTAATGTTCAAAGATAAACTAAGACATATTAAAATTTTTAAGCTTATTTGAGCTTAAAACTGACTCAAATTGGGCAGCACCAAACCACAAGTGGTAAGAAGTGCTCCACTGACAAGAGCTAGAGGCAAGACTTTTATAGAAAAGACCTAGAAGCAAAGCAAGGAAATTATTTGATTGCCTATAGTTTAAGCAGTTGTACTATTTGGGAAAGCCTCGTTTGTGGTTGTCCTTAGGTTTTGATTTCTTAACCTTGAGGCATTACAGGCTTAGGTTTGGGTTTGCTAAGGCATTAGAACCACCTCAGTCTATTAGCCTCCTTATTTAATTTTACATTAATAATGCTACTATATGGTATTTATTATTTTTAAAAAACTGCATGCGTTCTGAAGTGCTTTTCATTGACACTGACGCTGAAATTTTCTTCTTTATGTCAGCAAACATTGAAATACCCAAACGAGTATTTCACGATCTTCTTCTACTTTACAAATGAGAGACCTGAGGGCAAGGGGCTGGCCCAAAGCCACAGAGCAAGTTCAAGACCAGGTTGAGAAGAACACCTAGGGGTTCTGAATCATCCTACAGAGTTTATCCTCAATCATTTCCCCTCTGCTGCTATCTGATGTGTCTTCAGCAGGGGCAGAGTCTGCCCATCCCAGTCTGGGAAAGCATTCCCAGAAGTGGACATGTGAATTTCATTTTCCAGGATGGCAGGTTGGAGGTCACCAGATGAAAGCATTCTGACTTTCCCTCTCTCAGTGCTATCTCTCAAGGAGAATACTGCTCCGTCCTGACTTTTCCACCTCAGTTAAAACCTAAATTAAATAACCTACCTCAGTACGCATACTATTATCATTACTATACCTAACATTGGGAAAGTGAGGCAATGTATTGTAGATCAATTGACTCGGGCTGAGACTCATGCTCCTCGTTTGCTTAGTAACAGGAGCGGCTCCTCTTTCCCCACCCTACTTCCTCAGCTTTATTTTGCACCTTGCGCTGAGTTTCCATTTTCTACACATCTTAGCTGGAGAGATTCCCTGACTCCATCCTCCAAGACCTGGGATTTTTTTCCTACTTTATGTTTTTGCTCCCGCATTGTCCCAGTACATCTTTTCAGTAGCTCCCGTATCCCACTTCTAACTTCCCTTTCTCTTAGCATTCTCTGCTGTACGGCGCCAACATCTACTCGAAATATGGCGCCTCCCACTCCGACACAGTTTCCGTTCACTAGGCGCGGCCATTTTAATCCCCCCGGCTCTGGCGAACGAAACACCCTGTAAGTATCGCGATAGAAGCAGGTCGAGAGCTGCCCTTGCTTCCGCCGTTAACACCGGAGAGTCCGCAGCCCTGGCGACGGGAGGGGGCGGCCCTAGCGCTCAGCTGAGGGCCCTTCAGCCGAGGCTGGGAGTTGAGGGGCCCGGTTCTCAGAAAGGAAGTTTCAGTCACTGGCTGCGGTGTTGGGAGTAAGGGCATCATGTTTGATCAGCGACTGAGCATCTCTAGCGGTCCGTAATTTTCGTCTTAATTGTGGTTATTAATTAAACAGCCCCGCTCAAAATAGTGATTGCCGCCAGGTGGAGATCGGTATTTAGTGGTGCTGCCGGTAGTGGACTCTGAGGAGGTTCCGCGGCTGATTGGGAATTTGTGGGACTAGTGTTTGGGCGTGTCTGTGTGATTCTGCGTCTCTCAGAGTCACGGATTGGGGTCACATAGAAATCAACGGTTGGGTCCTGAAGGCAGATATCCATCTTTAGGGTTATTTTGGATCAGTGTGTGGGGGTTGTAGTGGGCTACTGTTGGGAGCCTATTTGGTAGCTTGGGGAGCAGATGGCTTGCGCCCAGTGATTGGGCTCCAGCCCTGAATAATAATAGTCTGCATTCAGGCTGCACTCCACACATACTGTGTGCTGGGTTTTCTTGTATGGGTTTTATGCATTTAAGGATATTAGGGTCAGGAGAGAGTTCCCATCCTCCCCCCGGAGGTTTTGTTTCCACCCTTGGATCTATCTGGTGAATGGGCTTCAGGCAGTGTATATTCCCTACTACTGCCTTGGAGCTAGCCAAGTACTTCAAGCCGAAGTCTCTCAAAAAGCCTTTCTCAAAGCTGTGCCTTTTCCCTTTGCCTGTCTTTCTATCCATGTGCTCTCTCTGGATAATTTCAACCACACTCATTCTATCAGCTTCTGCCTTTAAAGGCATGACTTGCCAGTCTATAGCACCAGCCCAGACGTTACTAACATGCTCCAGATTCACAGTAGTCAGCTGTCTCCACATCTCTGTGAGGTTTACTCACAGGATCTCAACCTTAACGTGATGGAAATAGACTATATCATCTTCCTTCTCCATGCTTCACCCGCTCATCCTACTATGTTCATCGTTATGAATAGCGTCACTCTTCTTCTAGATGGCCATAGTACAAATCCTGGAGACATCTAGTTTTCTCCCCACCCTTCTCCCCATGGTTGGACCAATCTTCTCATCCTGGTGATTTTGCCTCCCTGACATCTCACCAGTTTGTCCTCCCCATTCCCACTGCCATGGTCTTAGTTCAGGCTTCATCAGCCCTTGCCTTAAACCTCTATCAGGAAAACCCAGTATCAGAGTGTTGGACACTATGGGCAAGTCAGAGGAAGGAATGGCTGAGTCTATCCAGGAGACATTTGAAAAGGCTTTCTAGAGGAGGTGACATTTGAACTGAGTCTATACATTTGAAGTGGTCCTATAAGTCTGTGGATGAGAGTGACTGTTACAGCTTATTTAATTTATTGAGCTAGTGAATTGTGCTCTTTAGAACTTCCTTGATACGAGTTTGGGTTAAGAGGTCAGTAGAATAATAACTGCTAAAAAGTAACAGTTTATTCTAGGAAAACTGGAAAATGAAAATGCTAAATACAACCCAATAGAAATCACTTGTAATTCTACCACCCAAAGGTAACCATAACATTTTGATGTATGTCCTTTCACACACTTTTTTTTCTTTCGAATATATTTCTTTTCAATATATTTATTGTTTTATACCCTATTTTCTTACTTTGTAATACAACAAGACCCTTTTTCCAAATCTGTAAATACTTTTCTAAGATAACTTAATGGCTGTCTAGTGTTTTATACTTTGATAATGGTTGTAACCAATCCCTATTGTTGAACATCTAGGTGGTTTCTACTTTTTAAGTGATCAAGCGGCATCGTGATGAATATCCTTGCAGATATATCTTTATGTACATTCATGCCTTTTTTTTTAGGATAAATATCTAATTATAGATTTATGGGGTCAAAGGAGGAGAAACTTCTTAAACATACAATGGGATACACATCCACAAAGATAAAACATACCGTAGCCTGACGCTTTCAGAACTGTAATAGGTTGACGTTATCCCAGCATAATCTTTTGTGGTCCCTCAAAGGAAACTTTGAAAGGGGCAGTTTCTGAAAGGTAGTCTTTTATGTAGTTGGTTATAGGAATTTCTAGGCTCCTAATTCTGGGAATCACAGGGCAGGCCTAGATTCTCAAGGTGGTCTTCTTTTTATCCCAGCTCTGTCTTTACAGATATCTGCACCTTCTGAAGAGCAACAGAAAATGACCAATTCTCAGGTGAGTTATTTATATCCCATATTATTTTCCATTGTATTTGAGGCAGTTTAAAAGAATTAATTAAATGAAAAAATGTAAATAGAGATCTGGGAAAATAAAATAGAAAATCTAGACCAAATAATGTGTGAAATATAATCATACAAGTTATAGGGTCTTTTATAGTTATTAAAGTTGAGCATATCATCTACAATGATAGGATTTACATAACACAGTAAATATGATATTTTCTTGAGGGAAGTAAAGAATTTTTGGCATTTAGGTTTGAAATTATTCTCTTGATGCATACATATGATGTAGTAGGCAGTGTCTTTAACATTTTTTTTTAAGATTTATTTATTTATTTATTTGAGAGAGAGAGAAACAGCATGAGAGGGGAGAGGGTCAGAGGGAGAAGCAGGCTCCCCGCTGAGCCGGGAGCCCAATGCGGGACTCGAACCCAAGACTCCGGGATCATGACCTGAGCCGAAGGCAGTCACTTAACCAACTGAGCCACCCAGGCACCCCAGGGTCTTTAACATTTACCAACCCATGATAAATTCCATAGGAGGCCTCCCTATAGCTGTTTCTTAAGTCATTTCTCAAAATAACTACAGGGCATCATAACAAGGCAGAATTCAATTTCTAGCCAGTAAAATCATGGGGCCCAGGTACATAGCTGTCAAAAAATCTGTCTTGATCCATGAATAAAAGTTTGTGAAATTCGTCCAAGGAATTAATATTATTAAAGGTCATAATAGTATCAATTTTAATTTGCAGTTTTTAACCAATAAATAATGAAATATTTTTCCTTTAAAATGCAATAGGTTGGGGCGCCTGGGTGGCTCAGTTGATTAAGCATCTGCCTTCAGCTCAGGTCATGATCTCAGGGTCCTGGGATCGAGTCCTGCATCGGGCTCCCTGCTCAGTGGGGAGTCTGCTTCTCCCTCTCCCTCTGTGCTCTCGCTCTTTCTCTCTCTCAAGTAAATAAATAAAATATTTTTTTAAAAATGCAGTAGGTTGAGAGCCTCAAAGTGTATATCAAGTGAGTATGCTTCATGGATAGCGGAAATCAAGTGAATTTGCTCATTTCTGTTGGTTTATCACTCAGCTAAACATTGCTAGCAAGCATCTTAGTGGTTGTGATTGTCATATGGTTTTAAATGTTTTTATTTGAAGATATATATCTAATTTTTATCTCTCATGTTCCATTGGTTATACCCACTATGTAGCACACAGTTTCAGTATAGTAGTCTTCAAAGCGGGGAGCATCCATTCCTTAGATGTACAAGGTGATCCCCTGAGGTATGGGGAGAAAAGAACTACCTACATATCTTTTTTTTTTTTTTTTTAATTTTAGAGAGAGATGAGTGACAGAGCACGGGTGGGGGGAGGGGCAGAGGGAGAGGGAGAAATGGAATCTCAAGCAGACTCCCTGCTGAGTGCAGAGCCTGACACGAAGGGCTCAATCTCATGACCCTGAGATCATGACCTGAGCTGAAATCAAGAGTTGAAATCACTCAACCAACTGAGCCACCCAGGCGCCCCTACCTACATATCTTTTTAATGACCATATCTCAGTATTGAAATAATTTATGTTTTTTTAAAAAGGTATATATTATATATACTTTGCACTTTTTTTTTTAACTGAAAAATGTCTCCTCAAGAGTCACCTCATTAGAACAAAAGACACTCCTGTCATCCAGGAAATTCTAAGGATTTTAGGAGTTCTGTGTCAGGAACCAGAGTCAAAGAACAAATATTAGAACAAAAGATGCTTGCCACACCTTTATTCCTTGGGAAATTATAAGGGCCTTAGGAATTCTGACTAGGAGCCAGGGATGAAGACCAAAATATGTATTTCTTATCATATCACAGTACCCAATCTCTGATTTTTAAAAGTTTGGGGAGGGGGCGCCTGGGTGGCTCAGTCATTAAGCATCTGCCTTTGGCTCAGGTCATGATCTCAGGGTCCTGGGATCGAGTCCTGCATCAGGCTCCCTGCTCCACGGGAAGCCTGTTTCTCCCTCTCCCACTCCCCCTGCTTGTGTTCCCTCTCTCACTGTGTCTCTCTGTCAAATAAATAAAATTAAAAAAAAAAAAAAAGAAAGTTTGGGGAATACTGGGTTATGTACCTGTAATTCTGCACCCATTTCCAATGTGTGGGGTTTCTTCCCTGTACCACCAGGCAATCAATCTCTGACACCAGCTGGCTGTCCTGCAATTCGGCTCAATTTTGACACTACCCACTTGGAGATAGTGTCAGATCCTATAGGTCAAGGGCTCGGTCCCACAAGACTGCCCTTCACTTCAGATGACAATCAAAAGTCCAAGTTGTTGCCTCTGCTTCGGACTGACTAGGTATAAATCAGAGGTTCCCACAACCCCCTCCTTTGGTTCTATTAATTTGCTAGTGTGGCCCCTAGGAGTCAGGAAACCAATTTAAACACTCGATTGCCAGTTGATTACAAAGGATATTAAAGGATACAAATCAACAGCCAAGGAAGAGCTACATAAGACAACGTCCTGAACAAAGAAGCATGGAGTCCAAGGCTTGGCACCTGGCATCTGTCACGTGGAAACATTCTGGTAGCTCTCTGAACTCTCTCGGGTCTTTCTGGAGGCTTCATAATGTGGGCATGATCAATTAAATCATTGGCCATTGGTGATGGATTGAGCCTCCAGCCCCACCTCCCTCCCCCAAAATCAGGAGTGGGACTGAAAGTTCTGTCTACTCTTGGTTGGTGCCCCTGGTGACCAGCCACCCCCTCCTTAGGTGCTTTCCAAAAGCCATGTCATTATCATAACAAAAGGCACCTTTATCACCTTCATCACAGGAAATTCCAAGGGTTTTAGGAGCTCTATGCTAGGAACTACAAAGACCAAATATGTATTTCTCATTCTAAATCACATTATGGTACTGTTCATACAATAACCGAACTAACGTGAGTTTACTCTCTGGTGTGAGTCACAGATAGAAACTACACCAGGGGGAGTTATCTCACAAAGGAAACTTAAACTAAAGTTAATTTGGGCCAATAGAATTTTTGTGGTGAAATATAAAATTTGCCATTTTAACCATTTTTAAGTGTGCAATTCAGTGGTATTAATTATGTTTGCAATTTGTGAATCCATCATCACTTTCTGTTTCCAAAACTTTTTCATCATCCCGAACAGAAACTCTGTACCCATTGAGCAATAACTCCCATTTTTCCCTTACCCCCACAGCCCTTGGTAAACTCAAAACTACTTTCTGGCTCTATGAATTTGCTTATTCTAGATATTTCATAGAAGTGGAATCATATGAAATTTGTCCTTTTGTGTCTAACTTACTTCACTTCGCATGTTTTTGAGGTTTATCTATGCTGTAGCATGTATCAGAACTTCATTCCTTTTTATGGCTGAGTAATATTCCATTATATAAACACATTTTGTTTATCCCTTCATCTGATGGACACTCGGGTTGTTTCTACCTTTTGGTTTTATTGTAAATAAAGCTGCTGTGAATTACCTACAAGTATCTCTTTGAGTACCTGTTTTCAAATCTGGGTATATACCTATGTCAACCAAAATTCCTGGAATGCAGAGATTTAGTCAGAGGCAAGGGAAAGCTTTCTTGCCATACAGTGTGTAAACCAGGGAGATCGCAGCCTTCAGCTACAACCAAAAGTGTGCTCTGAAGGGGAAGGTTTATGTTTGGGCTTAAATAGGCAAAAACTGCAAGTTCTGTGCCCTTACTGGGTTGGTCAGACTGCAGTCCTAAGCTGTAACTTCAGGAGTAGAATGACAAACAGGATACAGCCTGCTATTCCTGGTGGCAACATCAGGCTGTGGCAGAGCCACGGAGAACATGGTAAGATGTGTTGCACGGGATTTTATGGATTTTGTTGACTTTTGTGCAGGTTTGTCACCTCATGGTATGCTAACTGGTTTTGTTTCCCATGGTCATTTGGGCTGGTTAAAATTGTAGTTTCTCTCCCTTGACATGAAGGAATCCATCTTATCTTTCAGCTGGTGTTGTCCAATTATTGGGGTCTTTTTTTTTCACCTAGTAGTGGAATTGCTGGGTTATACGGTAATTCTACATTTAACTTTTGGAAGAACTGCCCAAGTGTTTTGTGTAGCAGCTGCACCATTTTACATTCCCACCAGCAGCTTATGAGGGTTCCGGTTTCTCCACATCCTCAGTAACAATTGTATTTTCCATTTTGTTGATTATAACCATCCTATTAGGTGTAAAGTTGTATCTCCTTGTGGTTTTGACTTGCATTTCCCTATTGACTAGTAAGGTTGAGCATCTTTACATGTGCTTATTGTCCATTTGCATATCTGCTTTGGAGAAATGTTTATTGAAATCCTTTGCCCATTTTTAAATCAAATCATTTGTCCTTTTACTGTTGGACAAGTAGAGTCCACCTCTCTCCTCCCCCCAAACCTGCTCGCTCTTATTTTCTGGACTTGAGTGGGATGCCAGTTGCTTAGCCCGAAACCCAAGCACTCTTAGTTGATTACTTTCCTTCTCTCATCTTCCCACTGTCTTTCGGATACATCTTAGTCGGATTTGATCAACATCAAATTTAAAAATTGAATTCTCTTATTGAGGTGGAACCTAATCATGGTTTGAAAAATAAGTAAAAACAAAGTAATACTTTATTACTAACTGATCATAAGTTACTCTATTCTTCTTCTTATTTCTAAGTAGGTATTTAAAAAAATAAATTGACCAAATTAAATATTGCTTACATTTTATTGTTTTTATTTTAGTTTAAACTTTAAAAACAATGGTTTTGTTGTATTTAATTTTTATAAGTTCTTTAAGGGAAAATGCCAACATACACAAAAATTTAGAGAACAATTTAATGAACCCCTGTGTTTCTTCTTATATTTTCAGCAATTATCAGTGTTTTTCCAATCTTATGTCTTTCCCCTCTCACTTTATTTGTTCTCTAGAGTTTTTTGTTTGTATTTTTTTTCGTTTTTAAGTAGGCTCCGTGCCCAGTGTGGAACCCAGTGGGGGCTTGAGCTTAACGACCTTGAGTTCAAGACCTGAGATGGGATCAAGAGTCAGATGCTTAACCAACTGAGCCACCCAAGCACCCCTGTTCTCTAGAGTATTTTAAAGCAGACCCCATAAGTGACATTTCATCAGTATATGCTTGTTTTGCAGATTTTGTTACCTTCATTTCAGGAACTGATACTGGTTTTCCCTTTAGTGGTTTCCTTTTAAAATCATTTATTTAAGTAAAAGAGTTGTTAAAACTATTAAGTCAAAAATAGTGTGAGTGACATGCAGATACATAAAAATTGTGAAAACAGTAAATGAATAAATGATGTCTGAGCGTTATTCCGAAGGTACGAACAGTTCCTTGAATTTGCCGTGTTCTTTTTCCTGTCCCCATTGCTTTTTTCTTTACTAATTTCTCCATCTAGAATGATCTTTCTCCCTCCTCCATATCTTACTGGAGTTTACTCTATTCATTTTTGACACTTCAATAAAGTATTTTATCTTTACTTTAAAAAATTTTACATTTTTCATTATTCATTTTGCATAACTGTATATCTTCTACAAAACCCATCTCAACCTCCCCAAATAGAATCATTTCTTCTTTCCCATTTCTATTATAACCCATTTAACACCCAATAGCTTTTATATATTTACTTGTTTGTCTCCATCTACTATTCTGTAAACTTCCAGTGTTTTCTTCATATTTGTATTCTGACTATCAAATAGTGCAGGTTGTGTTGTGGCCTAATACATGCTTATTGGTGGAAAGAGAGGATGAATGGTTTCTCAATAGCAGAGTTTTTCTAATAGGAGTTCTGCTTCTTCCACATAGTAAAACTGGCCTCATAGTAAACATCTTCTTTAATTTATTATGATGAACTCTGCATGATTAAACATCTTTTACACATCACCCAGTGTTTTTCACTTTAGATTGAACAGGAATGTCCTGTTACAGGGATTTGTGTCACTCAAGGATGTCACTGTGGACTTCACTTGGGAGGAGTGGCAGCACCTGAACTCTGCTCAAAGAAACCTGTACAGGGATGTGATGCTGGAGAACTATAGCAACCTTGTTTCAGTGGGTAAGAACATCTCTCAGAGGGTACTGGGTATTAGTTATCTGCTGCTGCATAACAATTACTTCAAAATTTAGTGGCTTAAAACAAACAGTTTAGTTTGGAAGGGCTTAGCTGGGTGGTTCTGGCTTGTGGTCTCCCGTGTGGCTGTAATCAGATGTGAGCAGAGGCTGCAGTCATCTGAAGGTTTGAGAGTGTAGGATCTGTTTCTAAGATAACTCACTTACATGGCTGTTGACAGGAGCCTTCAGCTCCTTCCTCACCATGGGGGCCTGTTCTCACGACATGACAAACTTCCCCAGAGAGTGATCCAGGAGAGCCAGGAGGAAGTCACAGGGCCTTTTGTGACTGGGTCTCTGAAATCACAGACCATCACCTCTACCTTATTGTGTTTATTAGAAACAGTTACCAAGTCCAGCCCATGCTTAAGGGAAGGAGAGGACTTCTTGAAGGGAGGAGTGGCAAGGAATTTATGAACATATATTAAATCCACCATAGTACCCAATTGACTGCCTTTCCTTTCTTATTTACTAAAAGCTGCTGGGTCACTGCATGTTTAATGAGCTTCATTTCAAGTTACGAAGGTCAAAAGAATATTGATTTTGAGTACCAAATACACCAGTGGACTTGGATGAAAAGAGAATGGGTGCTGCATCCTGCTTATTCTTTGAGGGTTAAAGACAATGGGCTGTGCCCAAGTTCTTAGTTTTTATAGATTAATTGAAATAGAACATATGTAATAAAGTGCTCAGATCTTAAATATGCAGATTGATGCATCTTTTTCCTATGTTATTTAACCACCGCCCAGATCAAGGTATAAAACATTTCAGGCACCCTAGCAGGCTCCCTTTGACCCCTTGCCATTTATCTCCTCAGAGATAACAACTTGTGGCTTCTATCACCATAGATTAGTTTTTTCTGTTCTTGAACTTCATGTAAGTGTAATCACTATAATTGTCTGACATCTTTCATTTAACATAGTGTCTGTGGAATTCATCCATGTTGTTGCACATGACAATATTTGTTTCTCCTTACTGTTGCACCATATTCCATTTAACGAGTATAGGGTAATTCATCAACGTATCCATTCTACTGTTGATAGTTATTTGACTTATTTCAGACTTGAAATAACAGCATTGAATAAAGCTGTTTTGGACATTCTTTTTTTTTTTTATCTTCTTATTCTTTGTTTTTGTCTTTTTTTACTTTTTTTTTTTACCTTTTTAATGGACATTCTTATATGCATCTTCTAGTGGAAATAAGTATTTTATTTCTATTGGGTATATACATAGGAGTGGAATTTCTGGGTCATGGAGCACATGTATATTTAGCTTTAGTAGATACTACCAGTTGTCCATAGAGGTTATACCAATTTATTTCTTACTAGCAATGTATGAGAGTTCCATCAACATCTGGTAATGTTAGTCTTTTTAATTTTAGCTATTCTGGTGCATATGTGATGGGCTTGAGTTCTAGGATGGTTGGATGTCCACTAATGGCCAAGTCCTGTATCATTTCCCATAAACAGGATGTCAGTCTCTGAAGTCAGATGTAATCTCATTGAAGCAAGGAGAACCATGGATGAAGGAGGAAGAAATCTCAAGTTGGGCCTACTCAGGTAAGTGAGAACCTGGCATGTGGGAGACAGGGATGTAAGATTAATCCTGATTAATGAGACATTTATCTTTGAAATATTTTTTAGGAAATCATTCTTTAAGGTCATAGATGTCTAGAAGTGGCTGAAGACGGTTGGTGTGGGATTGTCAAATACCTAAATAACACTGCTACATATCTAATAACCATGCAATCCATTTTCTTTGCTTAACTTTTAGAGAGAGAGAAGTAACCCCCTTACCTGTACTTTGGATCTTATTTATGCCCATGTCATTTAGGACATTTCTTAGTTAACCTCTCTTTGGCTAACATCTTCAGCACCCTATTCTTCCAAAATGGGCTTATATTCCTCCCTTTATCCATTTACCCAGTCTTAGATAATGCCCTCTATCAAAGTGACTTATTGAATGATATTCATATCCTTTATAATTACCTTGTTTTTCTCACCTTCCTTTCAGTGTGATATGTCTTGGAGTTATAATCTTTTGCTTTGTGTTTTTAAAATTTTTCAGATTCTCCAGTAATATAAATATTACTTTGCCTTCTTCTTTTTCTCCTTTCTCTGTGACCATTTTTACTGGATTTTTTATGTTATTTTTATTATGTTGGCTATTTTCCTGCCTTTTTCCGTGCTGCTTATTAAATTCTCCTTACCCCCTATATATATATGCAATGGAATATTATGCAGCCATCAAAAGGAATGAGATCTTGCCATTTGCAATGACGTGGATGGAACTGGAGGGTGGTATGCTGAGTGAAATAAGTCAATCAGAGAAAGACATGTATCACATGACCTCACTGATATGAGGAATTCTTAATCTCAGGAAACAAACTGAGGGTTGCTGGAGTGGTGGGGGGTGGGAGGGATGGGGTGGCTGGGTGATAGACATTGGGGAGGGTATGTGCTATGGTGAGTGCTGTGAATTGTGCAAGACTGTTGAATCACAGATCTGTACCTCTGAAACAAATAATGCAATATATGTTAAGAAAAAAAAAAGAAGAAGATAGCAGGAGGGGAAGAATGAAGGGGGTAAATCGGAGGGGGAGACGAACCATGAGAGACGATGGACTCTGAAAAACAAACTGAGGGTTCTAGAGGGGAGGGGGTGGGAGGATGGGTCAGCCTGGTGATGGGTATTAAAGAGGGCACGTTCTGCATGGAACACTGGGTGTTATGAACAAACAATGAATCATGGAACACTACATCAAAAACTAATGATGTAATGTATGGTGATGAATATAACAATAAAAAATTAATTAAAAAAAAAGAAATTCTCCTTACCCCCTGCCCACACCTTATAATTTAATCTTTCATTCCCCCCTCCAAATTTAACCAATTCTTTTTCATCACTCTATTTTTTGTTTATTTGTTTTTTTCTTTTTTAAATAAGTTCTGATTCTTGGTGGTTTTCCATGACCTGAAATACTTGTTTGAGTATATTTAATTCTGTTTAGAGTTCAGACAAAATTTTATTTTGCTTTATGGCTAGTTTTCTTTTTGGTTTTGGTTTGACAAGGGACAATTTCCTCTGTTGATATCTGCACAAATTCATTTCCTGATTTTCGGTAGTAGTTCTCTATGGACTATATTTTTCTTTTGTTCATTTTTATTACATTACAGTATTTTCATAAGACTTTTGAATATTATGGAGTCCTTCTCTGTTAATATAGCAGGGCCTTTCCCTCCTTCCTTTCTTTTGGATTGAAGAGGAGTTTCGGCTTTTCTGGTTTTGTGGTTCTCTTTGTCTTCCAGGACCCTGAATTTCCCTTGTTTTCTTTCCCCATTACCACCACCCAATTATGAGTGGGTATTTCTTCCTTCTTTTTTTGCCTTTTTTCTCCCTCTGAAACTGCCTGGTCTTCAAACTCAGAATATCCCCCTTTTAATAGAGCCTGTCCCATCCCATGCTTTTTGTGTCTTCTGACTCTTTCAGATGAATGTACTTGGAAAGCCCTACCCTGTAGTTGTGCTTCTACCTGGTTACTTATAAAATATTTATGAATATTTTTATATTTAGTGTGGATTTAATCTTTCTGCTGGTCACTTCAACTCACCTTCAGTCTCCTTTGCTAGCATACTTCCTCTGTCTTTCCTGAAATGATTTTTTGATCTGCTTCTGGTCTTCACAGAGCGTTGTGGTGGATTGGCGCTGGTGCCATGTGGAACTTTGACACTGAGTTCATCAACTCTTTTTCCATTGCTCCCTTGCTCACTTCTTTTAGGTCTATTTCTTCTTCTGTCTTTGAGTTTTAAGGTCATATTCTACATTTCAAAGCTAATTGCACTTATTATCAGATTTCTATCTATTTCTACTAAAATGAAGAGCTTTGTTTTTTATTTTTGTGTTTTGTTTTGTATTCTTCAGAGCTCAAGAGTGAAGTAACATCATTTACACTTGGGCTTTTTTCAGACTTTGATATTAGACCCAAGATGAAAGAATTAACACCATGGAAGAACATTTCTGAACAAGTGATACTCCATAACATGATTGTATACTCAACTTTTGAAGACTGGAGACTTGAAGATGAGATAAATCACCAGGAAAACCAAGACAAGCGTTTGAATCAAGTTGCATTCATTAACAATAAGCCACTAACTGAGGAGATAGATCATGAATGTAACAATGTACTTGGGAAAGGAATTCATCTGAACAGAACATCTAATGAACACATCGGAGCCTTCATGCAGAAGTCACACCTCTTTGTACAACCAAAAATTCTAACCAGTGAGAAATCATATAAATGTATTCAGTGTGGGAAAGCTTTCAGTGGAAAGTCAGGACTCATTGTACATCAGAGAATTCATACTGGGGAGAAACCATACAAATGTAAAGAATGTGGAAAAACCTTTATTCAGAAGTCACAACTCACTGTACATCAGAGAACTCATACAGGAGAGAAACCCTATAAATGTAGTGAATGTGGGAAAGCATTCATCCAGAAGTCAAACCTCATTATTCATCAGAGGATTCACACAGGGGAAAAACCCTATGAATGCAATGAATGTGGGAAAGCTTTCATCAAGAAGTCAACGCTTGGTGTTCATCAAAGAGCTCATACTGGGGAGAAACCATATGAATGCAGTGACTGTGGAAAAGCCTTCATCTGGCGGTCACAGCTCGTTGTACATCAGAGAATTCATACTGGGGAGAAACCCCATGGATGTAAAGAGTGTGGAAAAGCCTTCAACAGGAAGTCAGAACTAAGTGTACATCACAGAATTCACACTGGAGAGAAACCCTTTGAGTGTAATGAATGTAAAAAAGCCTTCATTCAAAAGTCAGATCTCATTGTACATCAGAGAACTCACACTGGGGACAAAAGGTATCAATGCTGTGATTGTGGGAAAGCCTTTATCCGGAGCTCACAGTTCATTGAACATCAGAGAATTCATACTGGGGAGAAACCCTATGAATGCAGTGAATGCAGAAAAGCTTTTATCCAGAAATCACAACTCACTGTTCATCAAAGAATCCATACTGGGATGAAGCCGTATGAATGCATTGAGTGTGGAAAAGCCTTTAGTAAGAAGTCACATCTCACTGTACATCATAGAATACACACTGGAGAAAAACCCTATGACTGTAGTAATTGTAGAAAAGCTTTCAGCAAGAAATCTACTCTCATTGTTCATCAGAGAATTCATATGGAACAGAAACCCTTTTAATGGAATGAGAAAACTTTAATTAAATGATTAAAATTTCATCACACATCATAGAATTCATAAAGTCTAAAAACTCTATGAATGTACTAAACATGGGAAGCCTTCAACAGTAGCTCCTAAACTATTAAGCACCAGAAAATTCATACTGAGAAGCAAGTTTGAAAAATCATGTATCCAAAAAATTATATTGGACATCTTGGTCCAGGCCTAATAGTAAAAGTTTTTTAAGTATGTAGAAAAATCTCAACCATATGTGATTAGCTTGATCACTTGTGGTACAAATTTTTTAAATGACTGAGCTACCTAGGCATTCCAAGGTACAAATTTTTTAAATGAGTGAGTACAGTTGATCATTGAACAACGTAGATTAGGGTCCCCCTGTGCAGTTGAAAATTCATGTATAACTTTTAACTCTCCAAAAACTTAACTACTAATAGTCTATTATTGACTGGAAGCCTTACTGGTAACATGAACTGTCAGTCAACACATATTTTTATGTAATATGTATGGCATACTGTATTCTTACAATTAAATGAGCTAGAGAAAAGATGTTATTAAGAAAGTCATAAGGAAGAAAAAATACATTTATAGTACTGTACTATATTAATAAAAAAAAAATCCATGGACCTGCACAGTTAAAACCTGTGTTGTTCAAGGGTCAACTGCAAATTGATTAATCAGGACAACAAAGTGACTACTATATGTGATCGTTCTACAAGTGATGTAGAAATAGCATTCATAACCTAAATTATCTGTCATTTGGAAGTGAATATGGATATTTGCACCTGCCTTTCTGCACTAAATGACACCATTTTCCCCACATCTTAAAAAACATAAAAGGATAAATTGTAACTAAATAACAGATCTTCCCCCACTCTTTCTTAAGGTATATAGAATTAAGAGAAGATGAAGCCAATGTATTTATAGAGACATCAAAAGTTAGTGGTAGAGGAGTGCCTGGGTGGCTCAGTTGGTTAAGTGTCTGACTCTTGATTTCAGAACAGGTCATAATCTGAGTCATGGGATCAAGCCTCACTTTGGGCTCCATGCTCAGCAGGGAGTCTGCTTGAAAGTCTCTCCATCTCCCTCTGCCCCTCCCCCTGTACACTCTCTCTCTCCCTCTCAAATAAATCGTAAAAAAAAAAAGTGGTAGACTTTTAAAAAATATCACTTGGTGTAAAGCATACAGTTAAGAGGCAACAGGCAAAGCAGGCAGTGATGTGGCTGTAAGCAATGTTGGCATATTCAACACGTGATAAAAATAGTTCTACACAAAGAAATTCCTGTTCCTAGTCCTGTTTCAACTCATAGTACTTACGTGAGTACTGCTATGCATAGCTTGGGATCTCTATATCCTTGTGATTATCAGAATTGAGTTTTTTAAAGCTTCCTTTATTGGATATTTCTGCCACACACACATTCTGCTAAGCACTTTGACATGTACTTTCTTACTTAATCCTTAGAGCAAATATATGAAACTGAGATTATTACCATTTTATAGATGAGGCAAATGGAGCCCAGAGAGGTTCCCTGGTTCAGCTAAACTCATGTGCCTGGTAAGTGGAGGGCTGAGATTCAGATCAGCCTCTTAGCCTCCACAGGATTCTGTCCCACTCGAGACAAGCAGGACTGAATGTAATGTCACTTCAGCTCCAGACAGAATTGAGTTGAATTTGACTGGACATCATATGGTATTCTGTATCCTGTCCCTACATTATATTAAATAAATTAACAAGAAACATGCATTTCAAAGGAGGTATTAAGTTTTAGTTTCTTACATGTAGAAGCTCTTGGAGGTGTATTTTGAGATATTGGTTCAGGGATACCTGTTTTGCTGCCCTATACATTTTTTTTGTGATCAGTCTGAACATAGAAATTATACTATTATTTTATAATTTGAAAAAATTAAGTGTTTTGTTGAGTTGTCATTTTATCATCACAAATAACTTTTCTTACAAATTCTTACAAATTATTATCCAGGGCATCCTTTCCTTTTCAAGCGCAATAACTTAACCTTATGTAAGTTGTAAATATTCATTGTGAAGCAATATTAGGAAAAGAGGGATTGATAGCAAAAAACCTTTTCAGTCCTTCCTTGAAATGAAGGTAAAGCTGATACACCATATTGAGCTTGATCCTAAATTTTTTTTTAAGATTTTATTTATTAGAGAGAGAGGGAACACAAGCAGCGGGAGTGGGAGAGGGAGAGGGAGAAGCAGGCTTCCCGTGGAGCAGGGAGCCCAATGCGGGGCTCAATCCCAGGACCCTGGGATCATGACCTGAGCCGAAGGCAGACACTTAACGACTGAGCCACCCAGGCGCCCCTTGATCCTGAATTTTTAATCAAACATTTTTTCTTAGATTTTCAATTAAAAATGTTTTAAAATTTAAAACTGAACAGCAGCCATGATTTTCACTGTAAATCTTAACTTTAAAATAATTTATTTTATTTTTTAAAGATTTTATTTAGAGAGTGAATGTGAGCTGGGGTAGGGGCAGAGGGCGAGGGAAAGAGAATCTTGAGCAGACTCTGTGCTGAGTGTGGAGCCCAATGTGGGGCTTGATCTCATGACCCTGAGACCCAAGCCAAAATAAAAAAAGGGACACTTAACCAACTTAGCTACCCAGGCACCCCACAAATAATAATTTTAAACTAAATAGTGAATTGCAGTCATGTAATTCTTTTATTAGTCATTTTAAAAGTCACTTTTGAAGATAAATATTGAGCTGTTATGTAAATGTAGGACATTCATTTTCTAAACATATCAGAAGCTAAACTATTAATGTGTATCTTGCCTTCAATGTTGTCATCTTGGAAACTATGTGATAATACCACTTGTGCAGCCAATAATTTGTGGAATTCCTGTCTATTAGAATTTCTTTCAGATCCAGTTTGCCTGTCAGGCCCCATATGAAACTATGTAATATTTTCAGAGAGCCTTCCGTAATTAGAATTCATTGTTTTTCTCGCCCTTATCCTTCCTATCATCCCATTAATTCTGTGCATGACTTCAGGAAGAGGAAAGCTTGTGCCCCTTCTATAGTCATTTCAAGTCTCAGGTGCTTAGGAGATTCAATATCTCTATTTTCAATGTTTTGCCTTCTATTTAGTGGTTTCTTATACATAGCTGGTATCGCCATTAACATAAGATAGGTAGGAAATTCTTAGTGTGTTTTTTTTTTTAAAGATGTTATTTATTTTGAGAGAGAGCATGAATAGGGGGAGAAGTGGGGGGTGGAGCAGAAGGAGAGGGACAAGCAGACTCTGCGCTGAGTGTGGAGCCCGACGCGGGGCTTGATCCCACGACCCTGAGATCATGACCTGAGCTGAAATCAAGAGTTGGGTGTTCAACTGACTGAGCCACCAGGTGCCCCCCAGGTTTTTTTTTTTTAACTTGCCTCCTAATATGTTGTCATCTGAGCCTATTTACTTGTATTCTCTTTAAAAGGATACTTCATATTACCGCCTTTCTACTTAAGTAGTATTACTAATAGATATTTCTTGGGTACTATGAATTAATTAGGTACTAGTCTCCTTAAACAACTGGAATTTAAGAGATTACACAAGATACCATGACTCATATCTAAGGACTGAAACATTATGTTATAGGTAAACAGATATTTTGGAGTTTTCAGGCAGAGTTAAAAGTTGAAACAAGTGGAACTACCCTAGTAATTCTGAAAATATGGTTTTAAATAGTTTGAAAATTAAATAATTAAAATGTTAACATGCTTGCTATTTTTTTTAAGATTTTATTTATTTGAGAGAGAATGAGAGACAGAGAATAAGAGGGAAGAGGGTCAGAGGGAGAAGCAGACTCTGGTGAGCGGGGAGCCCGATGTGGGACTCGGTCCCGAGACTCCAGGATCATGACCTGAGCTGAAGGCAGTCGCTTAACCAACTGAGCCACCCAGGCGCCCCAACATACTTGCTATTGAGATGTTAATGTTTACTTAAAGTTTTATATGCTGATGGTCACACAAATGCTTAGGTATTATGTTTATTTCAACTTCAAGTTATCACAGTTACACTTAAACACTTCACAGTTTACCCTATTTTGGACATTCTTAGAGTATAACAGAACAAAATGGCATTATGTAAATATGAGTGGGTAGATGGGAAAGAGGCACACCATGGAATTTTTTCTGAAAAGGTGGAGAAAACTGAATTTCCATTTGTTAGCCTAGGTAGAGATGAGTCACAAGAGAAATTAGAAAATGTTTAGATAATATTGAATGAAAATACAATATGTCAGAATTGAGGAGATAGATTATGAATGGAACAATGTGCTGGGAAAAGGAATTCATCTGAACAGAACATCTAATAAACACATCAGAGTCTTCATGCAGAAGTCACACCTCTTTGTACAACCGAAATTCTAACCAGTGAGAAATCATATAAATATATTCAGTGTGGGAGAGCCTTCAGTGGAAGTCAGGACTCATTGTGTGTGTGGGTATTGGGGATGTCACTAGACCAGAGCTTAGAATAAAATTTATAATTTTAAATGATTTATTAGAAAAGAAGAAATGTGTAAAATCAATTATTTAAGCTTCCATTTTATGAAGGTAGAAAGATATGAGCAAATTATACCCCAAAATAAGTAGGAAGATATAAGTAATAAATGGAAGAGCACAAATCAATGAACTAGAACAGGGATCGGACTACAGGCCAAACCTGGCTAGTGGCCTGTTCCCATACAGGCCTTAAACTAAGATTCATTTTTACATTTTTAACGAGTTATAAAACACACAAACCAAACAAAAAGAAAAGAAAAAAGAATAAAACAGAGACTATGCAACAGAAATCATAGGTGGACCACAAAACCTAAAATATCCACTATCTGGCCCTTTACAGAAAATGTTCGCCAATTCCTAAACCAGAGCATATGCAAACAAAAATCATTGAGAACAAAAGGTGATTCATTGAAATAATATAATTGGTAAATCTTTGGATAGACTGATCAAGAGAAATAGAAGACAAATTACTAGTAGGAATAAAGGAGGTGGCACCACTATTTTAGAGTCAAAAAGAAGATAGAATTAATAATAACTT